CCTCCTCCCCCTCTGGCCCCTCACCCACCCAGGGTCGACTCAATGTACGGCGTCGGCACGACCACAAACACAAACTTGGCGCCCACGGCCTGCGGCGCGCCGCATCAGGAGGCAGCCGGCGATTGTTTGGAACGACTGGCCAGCCGGCAGCTCGCTGACTGCAGGGCTGCCCCCGGGCCCGCACACACCCGCCAGCCCTGGCGGCCGGCCGCGCCTCTCAGGCCGCGGGGCGGCCTGAGGCTTCTGCCTCTGCAGAAGCCGCGGCCTGGGCGCCTGGGGCGGGCCCCGGCGTCCTCTGGCCCCGAGCTCTGGGCAAAAGTGGAGCCGGGCGCAGACCCGCAGCCCTTTGACCCATGACATCATATCGGGGTGCTTCAGGAGCACGCCTACGTCGGGCCCCACCACGAAAAGTCTCCCTTAAGAATGTATATTCAAGATCACAGACGAACACGCGGCCGCTCTCCCGCCTCCATGCATCCTAAGTTTGGCTGTGGCTCACCCCAGCACACGCGCCCACAAATGCTCACGTGCGGATGCACTCTTGTGTGTGTGTGTGTGTGCATGCGCGCGCGCGTGCGTGCGTGCTTGCGTGCATGTGCGTGCGTGCGCGCGCACGCGCGCGTGTGTGTGTGTGTGTGTGTGTGTGTGTGTGTGTGTGTGTGCGAGCATGCAGGGACGCACCTCTGACAGGTCGCTGGTGGCGCGCAGGCCGTCTGGGGCCTTTATGCCGGGCAGGTATGCGGGGTTTTCGCGAGTGCTGTTGATGCGCTCCACCAGCTGCAAGGGCGAGGGCAGAGGAGGGGGAGGCGTGGGTGAGTACAAACACCCATCAGTGTCTGTCGTGTGGGGGGAGAGGCGGGTGGGTAGGGGTGGCGTGCATCGCCGCGGGTCGAAGGGGCTGTTACGGCTGTGCATGGCCTGATGTTTGTTGCTGTGCGTGAGAGAAGTGCGCATCGGATGTATTGGGCATGGTGTGCGGATGGGAGGCTCGCGTGATGCACGCAATGTGGTGGGCCGCTGTCTGTACGTGTGGGGCCGGCCGGGCCGGCCGCAGCTGATGTGGCCGGGGGTGCCTGTGCCACTGAGCCGCAATGGCAGCCCCCTCATGCGCCAGCCGCCCATGCTATCAGGCTACGCCCTTATCGCTTTTTAAGTTGTCAGGCAGCGGCGGCGGGGCGGCGGTCGGTTGCTGCTGAGGCGGGCGTGCGCACGCACTGTTGGCTCGCGCGCCCAGAGGACTGTGTCGTGGCCTGTGCGCGCCATGTGGTAGGCCATGGCCGTACCGAATGCACCTCCGCCCAGAACGCCGCAGGTCGCCATTGCTCTGTTTCGGGGGCACCGGTCGTGGAAACGCCTGGGCTGATCTGCGTGTGGTTGATGATCCCGGCACCTATCGTTCCGAGCTCGTCCCGTTAAAAGATCGATGTTGAGATCGAAATGCGCCACTTTTCTCCTTAAAAGATCGTTCCACGTATCCGAGAGCAGTGACCCACCTCGAGTGAGACTCGCCGACCCAGCAGCAGGCCGCCACCAGCAGCAATGGCAGACGAAGGGGAAGGATCCGACAGCCCGGAGCGTGCCGCTGCCGGCGAGGGCAGCACGAGCGACGCAGCTGCGGGCGCCGCGCGGCCGCCCAACGCTGCGTCGCGCGGCCTGATGAACGAGCTGCTTACGAGTGGCGTAAGCGTGGCTTGCGCGACCGTCGTCACCAACCCCCTCGGTGCGCTGCTGCGTGTCTGCGCCCAACAGTGGCCCACATCCGGCCATTCCCCAGGAGGCGCCCCCTCGCCCCCAAAAAGTGTCGGGGCAAATGCACAGCTCCGCGCAGCCAGGCCCCCGGGCGACGCTTGAATTCGCAACTTCGCACCGCCCCGCCGCGCCCCGCCCTGCTCGCCAGACGTGATCAAGACGCGCATGCAGCTGCGGCAGGCGCAGGGCGGCTCGCACCCCGGCCTGGTGAGGGGACAAGGCGCCCTCCCCCCAGAGCGGCTGCCGCCGGCGGCGCCGCGCACGGCCGTGCGCCACGTGCTTTTCATGCATCGCCACATCCAAACGCGGCAAAATTGCCTCGAGGGCGGCGGGCTCGTCCCACTGCATAGCACACGGTGGCCCGGGACCTCGGCTGCCCTGGGGTGCTGCGCAGCTGAGCGCGGTCCCGCACACCCCAGGAGCTTCCTGCACGCATTTTGAAACGTCGCGTCCAACAGCTGGCGGGCCGCGGCCCCGCGCCGCCCCTCGCAGGTGGCCACGGGGGCTGAGATTGTGCGCGGAGAGGGCGCGGGGGCCCTCTGGAAGGGCCTGCCGCCGGCGGTGCTGCGGGGGCTGCTCTATGGAGGTGCGGGCGGCCTCCAATGTGGATGACGATAACGTAAACAAAAACTGTTGAACAGAGAGCAGCGGCACACATCTATCACGCAAGCTGGTTTTCTGTGAGGCCTACAAATCCAGGGGCGCCAAAGCATCAGGTCGAATTCCGAATTGCATCAGACCAACCGAAACCTCCTGCGCACGCGGACGTGCATTGGCCCCTCACCCCTGGGTGCGGCGGCAGCCCCAGCAATTACACCCTCCTCCCCCCCCCCCAAGAAATGCATCCCCCCCTCGCCTGGCCCTCCGCGCTGGCAGGCATGCGGTTGGGCTTATATTCGCCGACGCGCGATTGGCTGGACCGGGAATTCGCGGGCCGGGCTGCCGCCGGCACAGCAGCCAGCGGCGG